TCATAATCAACTAATTGACAACGCCAGGCAACTTTTATCTCTACAAACTTTTATCTCTCAAATGTGCCGGCTTTGCTCCATGTCTACTGCTAGCTACCACTTTAGTCTTACCATGTTTTTACTGATCTACTAAAACAGGCTCCTGAATAATCTCCTATCAACTTCTGTTGTCTCTTTCTAATAAAATCACCCATTACAAGTCAATTTGTTCTTTTGAAAACTCAAATGTTCTCATGTCATTTGAAGGTTTAAAATCTTACTGTTGCTTCATGTGCTCCAGCACTGTAGCTTGCTAATCTGTGCTATGTTATAGGAAACAAGAAGAGAATGAGGGAGACAGAAAACACACACACACACACACAGAGAGAGAGAGAGAGACAGAGAGAGAGAGAGGAGAGAGGGAGATAGAGGAGAAAGAGAGAGTTATCTTCTTATTCAAGTAGCTGCAAATATGTATTTTAGGCTTTTTAAAAAAATAATTTAGGCTTTTTTATTTGTTTGTTTCCTAACTAATACTTTTATCATTGCACTTATAGTCAAGAGCAAAAATTCTAATGTGGCTTCAAAGGTGCTGAATGAGCTGTCTGACTTCTGCCTACCTTCTAGTTCCCCTTTTTACCGCTCTTCCTTCCTTTCACCATATACTAACTCTTCTGGACTTCGTTCAGTTCTTCAAAGATGCTGAACTCCTTTCTGCTTGAGATCCTCACACCTTGTCTTTGCTCCTCTGACCCTATCTTATTAACAACTATTGGTTCTTCAGATTTTAACCCTGGGTCATCCATCTCAAGCAGTTTGTTCCCTACCACCACCACCACTACCACCGCCAGTCTGTATAATTTTATCAGGTTTCATTGTTAAATGGTTTGATATCACTTTATTGTTGTCCTTTTTTGGTGAAATAATTTTACATTAAAAATATATATGAAGTATAAAATATTATTACAAATCATTATATACCCCCAATCCAGTTTAAGAAATACAATTATACTAATACCATTTAGTAAAGCATGGTGGTCAACTGGAGATTCTGTTTTCTAGCCTCTTGTGCAGCTGGTTGTAGTCCTGTGATTACATACAGTTTTACAGCAGTTGTACATTTTTCTAAACAGTATATTATTTAGTTCTACACATCTGTGAATATTGTTAAAATGTTGCCATTTTTTCTCTTTCATTTTTTGCTTTTGTACTCAGTATTATGTTTTTGAGATATTTCTGTGTTAATAGGAGACACTATTTCATTCATTTCCCATTTATTTCCTATGTGAGTTCAGTTTGATGGAATTATGATATTCTTCTATGTCATTACTATGCCTGTATGCATTGTTTTATTTGTGGACATTTGGCTTATTTCTAGTTATACATACACACACACCCATATGTTATGTGTATATATACACATACTGATGTGTTTGTGGTTTGTGTAGATATGCAGATTAGAAATATTGCTGTCATGAATATTATAGTAAAGTAGAATGATTTTCAACTCAATCTTGCATGAGGGTTCAATTGTGACTAAATATTTGCACAGAAAACTTTTTTTCTTCCATTTAGAGTCAAGACTATCACAAATTATTCTTTGACCCTTCCCTTTGAGGGGACCTTTTCTAAGATTGTAAAACTGCTATCGTTTGATTTGGAAAATCTCAGTTATTAATTAGATTTCTCCACTGAGAAGGGAATTGGCTTATGGACGGTTGTGAATATCTAATCTGGTTCATTTTGTAGTTAGCATTGTAATTCCACTTGACATTTTGAAGCCAATTGATACTGTATAAGCAGTCTGTTGGCCATTCCTACCAAATTTCTGTAGAGATTGTCTGAAAACTCTGGCTGTTTTCAAGTTTAAATATATTTAAAATTACTCCTTGCTGGAGTAATAATTCCATTTTCAAATGTAATTGACAAAGATTCTATGTAGATCAAAAAATTTCACACACGAAGATATGATCTTAACTTTTAGCAGTAACCATGAAATGTGCTTTGTTCAGCCACAAGTTTTTAAAAAGTGTCCTTTTTGATATTATTCTGGGTGTTTTAAAATCTGTTTTTAGTGATGCAAGTCTATAGTAATGTAGCAAATTTGATTTTCAATATTTTTTCAAGTATGCAGCAAAAGGTGAATGCTTTTTTTAAAAGTAACATTCAATTAGACTTTTGTGGTGAATCAAACACCCCATTTGCTGGTCATTAAAGCATCCCCGAGTGGTGTGGGAATTTTGGAGGTAGGGGTAATTAAAGTCCATGAAAGACTTGGGGTGAGGTGTCAGATGGGCAGGAATTATAATACCTGTTACTCTATGTGAAAGTTGATAAAAAGCAGCAGTCCGGAACACTAATTGAAGTCACTAAGGGACTTGGTTCTGTATGTGGAAAGAAGAGGGACTCGAGACCAATCTGACTTCACATACTGACTCTACTCCTGTTACTAGATGTGTGACCATCTAATGTGTTATTAGACCTTCAGTTTTCTCATCTGTAAATGGCGAATAATAATACTTATTTCATAGGATACTTACGAGGATCAGTTTTAATAATAAATTTGGAAGATCTAGAACAGAGCCTGGCACACAGTAGGCATCAACAGCAGTCATATGGCTTCTATGACATAGCAACTAAACCAAATTTTTTTTATGAAGGAGAGATATCAAAGAGCTTTTATAATAGTAGAGAGATTTTATGATGAACTTAAATAAATAGATTGTAATGTTTTTATATTTTGCAATAATTGTAACATAGATACAATTTATTTAGGGTGAAATTTGATCAAATAATGACTAAATGTTTCTTAATGTAACATAACCACTTTATTTTTCTTGAACAGTAGCCCTTTAGAAGGAAAACAATATAGCTAGATCCTTACTTTGTTTTACTAAAATATAGTCCAATTGGATTAAAGATTTAAATGTTAAAACTTTTTAAAGTAAGGGCAAAATATATTGGAATAAACTTGCATATATTTTTGTGTGACAATAGTTTGGCTATGCAGGGCATAATGTCTAGACACCAGAAATAGAAAGATAAGTCTGACTGAAACCAGTGGCAAATCCATATAAGTCTGCAGCAAACTCGATGCTTGCCTTCTTGGAGGAAAGAATTCAGCCAAGGGGCAGAAGTAGGTTTAAGGCAGAGGGAGAGAGCAAGGCAAGTTTTAAGATTGAGAGTTTATTTAAAATGCTTTAGAGCAGGAATGAAAGGAAGCAATGTACACTTGGAAGCAGACCAAGCACGTGACTTGAGAGATCCAAGTTCTCTGTTCAGCCTTTGACTTGGGGTTTTACACATTAGCATGGTTTTAGGGTTTCCATTTCTCTTTTCTTGGCTCTTCTCTTGAGGTAGGCTGTCCACATGCACAGTGCCTGCCAGCACTAGGGAGGGGCTGCATGCACAGTGTGTTTACTGAAACTGTGCACATGTTCACTTGAGGTGCTTTCCCTTACCAGTAGTGCATTCCCAGAGGAAGGTTATGTACCAGTTAAACACCACCATTTTGCCTCTTAGTGCGCATGCTTGAGTCCACTCGTTCAACTCCTAACATCACCGGCTCAGGTGTTTTCTGCCTATCGGGATACTGTCTTTCACTGGCACTGGCTGCAGCCAATTATCATTTCAGAGCGACAGTTTAGCAACCACTAGGCCATCAACTAATGTTTGCTTGACATTCCTGGGGAGATGGTCCTCTCCTGCACTGTTCATGTCTGACTAACTACCTACTGTAACATGACAACAGGTGTTTTAGAATTTATAAACTGTGTAAATGAATTCCAAAGTCAAGAACAAATTGGGAACATTTTTGTTGGCAAATATGATGAGAAAATAGCCATTACTCTAGTATACAAAGAGCTACTGCAAATAAATTTAAAAACACTACTTCGATTTCAAAATTGACAAAACTGAATAGACCAGAAAAATCAATACAAACAAACAATAAATATTTAAAGCATGCTCATCCACACTCATGATTTTTATAATACAAATTAATATGGCATTTTTCAACTATCCAAATATTAGCCAATCCTCATTTAATAGTTTATAGTTTTGGCATGTGTGTGGTGAAGCAGGCACATCTATTCACTTGCTGGTACTGTAAATTGCTGGAATGAAATATGAAATATGTATACCAAAATTTAAAATGTACATACCTCTGCCAGTAATTTATTTACTTAATAAACTCAAAGCTGTATGCATTTAAGAATTTTCTTTGCAGGATTGGCCACACAGATTTTGACAAAAAAGTCTTAGGTAAATCTGAATCTTCAAGATAGAGAAACAGTAAAATTAATAAAATTAGTTATATCCTTAACATAGTGTGCTATTAGCCGTTTAAAAAAATAGGAGAGAACTATAATATGCAAATATTGAATGATTTGCAAGTATTTTAATGTGAAAAAAGTAATAACTAAACAATTTTTACTGTAAACTTATATATATATGCAGAGAAAAAATAATTATAAGTGTGGATATAGGGTACATATTAGAAATTTTTCTGGAAAGAATGTTTTTAAATGTTGAGAGTAGAATTAGCGATTTCAGTGTGGAATAGCAGGAAGGAAGGAATAATACCCATTAATGATTTCCTGAAGTATTTGAAAGTTCTCCTCTGTTCATGTATGTTTTACTTTAATTTTTAAAAATTAATGCAGTCAATATGATGATAAAAATGTACAAATTATGAAGGACTAAAATTAAATTAAATGTCATTAGGATCCAGCAGATTATTTTAGGTATTGGAAAACATGTACAATATGCTCTTGAAAGGGAACTGTCAAAACGACATTCTGGAGGTGAAATGATGCATGCATTTGTGTCTAATGAGCTTTATTTTCCCCCAGACAAAGTCAAAGGAAGATCAAGAGCAGGGACCCACTTTGACTCAGCCCGGAGACGGAGTCGAGCAGTCCTTTATCACATCTCTGGGCACCTGCAAAGAAGAGAAAAGAACAAATTGAAAATAAATAACGTAGGTGGTATGTGTGTACAGGACGAATGCTAGTGTTTCCCCTGGTGGCAATGTTTGACTCGTTAAAGAAAGGCCTCAATTACCCATTTACTGGCTTGCCTACATTTTTTTTTCCACTTTGGTTTGTGCTTTTCTATATAGAACAAACTGGAAAAGGTCAGCAGTCATGAGGCATTTCTATAATAAAAGTGCTTAATCATCGTGTTATCACAGCATAGAGATTAGAATATTATTGCAGTGAAGTAAATATGGTACTAGGGACACTGCAAATGGGGACACACTGGTTACATTTTATGAAACAAAAATGATGCAGCAAGTCATATTACACATTCATAGTTTATTGGTTAAAATTTCTCAAATTTAATTTTAGTTCCATCGTTTTGCACATTATCTAGTTCTACAAATGCTTTTATCCAGGAGAAACATGACCAAATCAAAGCCATTACGCCACTAAAAAACTTTCATTATATATAAAACACAGTTGAAAATTTCACAGTAAAACACTGGATTTACAATTGCATACCATACATTAAACAATTTTGGAAAGTCACACTTTTAGTAAATTACAATAGAGTTGCTTTCTGAAATATGATGTCTCTCTGTCAAAGCCACAACAAATAACTATGCCTGTATAAGGTGATTCTTTCCAATTTTACATGACATATATCCTCCAGGATTTCACACTGAATTTTGTAACTGGTTCTTAGCACTAAGAGACTTCACTGAGAAACCTAGAACAATATCTATTTAGTTGTAGATAGTCAGAGTTTTAAAATGATGTTAATGTCATTAATTTGCCTTATGGAATCATCAAAACATATATGGGGGGTTGTGTGACCATAGGTGGCAGATTAAATACCAGCATCTAACTTGCCAATGACAAGAAAAAGTCACATGAAATGACCAGATCTATTTTGGAATTGATTTAAGATCCAGAAGTTCTGGGAGTTAACGACAGAGGGGGGATCCTTTGACATTTTATTTTTAACATAGCAAGCTCAAGGACTACCTAATCTGACATACACATACACATGCTTTGATAAAACAGGACCATTCATCAGACATACAAAGTATTCATTTCTCTGATTGTAGTGAACAAAGAAAGATGTATGAACCCAGGGTGAGGAGCGAGATTTGACATGAAAGTGCTGCAAACCTGGCTCTACTTCAGTGCAACTTTCTGGAAGCCAAAACAAGATGTTTTGAATCATTTGTCCTCCCAGGACCATCAACCATGTCCGTGCTGGTCTGCCATGTACCACTGTGGAGGGTCACATTTTGATTTTTTTTTTTTTTTGGTCCTAATTCAATATAAAGGTTCTCTAGGGATACGTGTGCCCTAGTGTTATATTGATTTCCTGGGAATCCAGGGAGAGGCTTGAAACAGTACACACCACTTGATCTATGGATCCTTCCACTGGTGCCTATTTACATCCCCTTTCAGTTACCAAGTCAGCCTTAGTGACATAAGCAAGTTATAGGAAGAAACAAAGGTAACTACATCTGGGCTTGATTCCATGCAAACCAACCAGCAAAGCACCTAAACAAATATTATCCACAGATTCTGTAAGGCTGAAAGCTGACACTATCAGCTTTTAGTGGAGAATTTAAACGTAGTAAGAATTAGTGCTTTAAAATGCATTTGCTGGGCATGCTATTTTTCCCTTTAGATTTAACAAAGTACAAAGCAGTACTTAAAAATATGATTTCAAAAAAAGTATAACTCCCATTACTTAGCTAATTTGCTTAATTGCCATTCATTTAAGAAATACAAACATCAGGGTAGAGTATTAAAATAATACATAGTAATTTAAGATGCCTAATCAGCACAGTGACTCTAATACTACAGGTAATGCTACAGGTAATATCTAATACTACAGGTAATATCTTATTCCTGAAGCAAAGTATGGAATCAGGAATTGCCCTGTTCACCTGTTCACCATCTCCTTTCAGGAATAACAGAGTAGAATGGCTAAATGGCAGATAGAAGGAAGACAGAAGGGAGAAGAGGAAATGACTTGTATAGTTTATTAAATAAACAAATTTTCTGGAAATTCTGGCTGTGATAACATTTGCACACACAAAAAATAATTCTTAACATTTTATAGTCGTTTGCTATTTACAAATTCCTTTTACTTAAATCATATTATTTGATTCTCATAGAAGCCAGTACTAGGTCTGATTTTTATTAGTCCCATTTTAATGATGGAAAAAACTCAACTTATTAGAAGCAGCAGTTGTGGTACCCAATCTTTAATCTTCTAATTCAAAGCCACCGTGCTTCTGACTCTTACCTTGTTGTTTCTCAGATACAGTTCTGTGGAACAGGAATATATGCTTCAGCCATAGTCAAATGAACTCATCAGGTCATCAGCAGGTTTGGGAATCAAGATGCAACATATTTTAGTCTGGCTCTAACTTTGCCTGGTATACCTTGAAAAAGGTGTTTTCAAATTCTACCTTCCTTAATTTGTTATTCTGTCAATCAAATAAGAATGAGATGATGCAAATGTTTCCAACACGAAGAAATGTTAAAGATCACACTAGAGCCTTGGAAGCTTGAAAGGAGAGTGCTACAAATGCGTATTTCCGGCAGGGGACAGTGGTAATCATCAAAGGCATACACTGGCTTTAGATTACTCACTGAAGTGACTGTAGAAATATTTTCACATTCTCTTGCTCATTCAGATGATAGCTTCAAAGGAACTATTGCAAAAATAGTTTAGGAAACAATTAATTAGGCACTGGAGTTAACTATTTTGTTGGTGTCACAGTTTAGAGGTTAAACATCTAAAACACCATTGGTACTAAAGAAATATGATTGAAGATTAATAAATAAGATAAACCTAATGTCTAGAGTAGACAAACTCCATGTTTGACAGTTACAAATAACATGTCTTCTTCCCTGCTTCCTGCTAAAAAGCATAATTTTACAACTGTGTAGAATTTTTCTTTACAATTTTAAGTATTTTTTTCATTTGAAAGGATTTTGATAAAACGTTACAAAAACTGGTGGAAGAAGAGGAGCATCTATTTTTCTTCACTCAGGTGATTATGTAAAGATGTTTGCAGGATTTGAGTTAACAACATTTCAAAATTTAAATCTAATCTCAAATGTATTGAATTCTCAGTATCTTTTAAAAATATTTTTAAAATATGTTCTAAGTAGCTTACAAAATGAAACCATGTGATTTATTTTCTGATTTGTACAGAAAAGTGATATATTGCTGAACTTTTGTGACAGAATCCCTAATGCTTCATTATCAGCATAATCAAAAACAAAAGCAAAAACTTCACTTTTTAGTTTTCCCAAATCATTACCCCTAGATATCGATGTTCCCTCAAACAGTGTAAAATTTTAATTTCTGTAATATGATAGGAAAAATTTATGTGGATAGAAAATGAGATATTTCCCATGGCTTCTGATAACTCTTTATTGTGGTAAATATTCAGGGAAAATTTGGATTAGAATCAATCATGTTGTTATAACTAGAAGTGTTTATCAATAGTGGGAAGATTAATGGTTACAGACCTCAATTCCCTCTTCCAATGTAACAGACTGAATTTTTATGAGAAGCCCAACAGGGCTACTTCGTCTCCTCTTCTCTGTTTTATGCCAAAGTCTACCTTTGGAACTGGTTTCTTCAAACCAGAGAATGAGGCAAAGGAGATAGGATGAATATCAGGGAATTGTATGAAACATAGATGCAGTGGCAGATGGGCATCTAAGGACCATCTGGAAATAGTTTAACAGTGACCCACCACGAAGTGCTGACATTATGAGATGCCTGTGTGGGTTGAGTGAGAATATTAACAGGAAGTGGAAACATGGGTTGAAAATACCTACCAAAGAGAAATGCCAGACAGGGGTGCATTAATATCAAGGTAGCAAAACTATTCAATCACTGACAGTCAGCACTTAGAGCTAGATGTTCCTGATGTTTCTGAACCTTTCTTGAATCCTCAGGTACTTCAGGATCCCTGAACACTTCACATTAATCTGCCCTTCCCTCAATGAGTGAGACAAGAACACAACATAGTGACCTACAAGTAATATGTATTCTGGAATTTTTAACTGCTCTGTTAATTCAACTAAACTTTCAAATATAAGTTTCCATTACCTATCTTGGATTTCTCATTAATTGAGGTCAAAGCAAGGTCTGCAAGTATCTGGTCACAGGCTTGTCAAATTTCCACACATGCTATTGTTGGGCCTCCCTTTGTCTTCTAGCAACAAGGGAATTGTTCATGAATTTGAACTGCATTCAAAGTGAAGTCCTTTTGCAGTTATCAAAAACTCCAGCTATTCTGCATTTAGTCAACTGCACAGTGAACACTGGCTTTCTCCTCCCCTGACTTGAATAATAACTCTTAAGTAACTGTTTCTTACTTTACCATCTGAACAATGTCTGGTGCATGTCAGACTGCATCTGTGTCTATCAAGGTAATGAGGTTTGGGTTCCCAACTTCACCAACAGCCACAATGCAAAAAATGAAAGTAGTTAGCATGACTTAGCTATATTTGGAAAGAAATGTAAACTGTTTACAATATATTATTGTTCATATATCTATTCTTTTTGGAAAGAAAGATACCATTGCTATCATGAGTAAAATATCAGGTCAAATGTAGTCTTTAGATAATGACTGTCATCAGAGATCTATAAGTATACAGAATGTTCCCATGACAATAGGAATGTAAATATAGCTTTGTGTTTATAATGTGTGTAGGATTGCATGTAACTGTGAATGTTTTTTGATGACATCTTAGGTAATGGTCTTTTTTATTTTTTAATGAACAAAATCTGGGTTACTCACTTAGCTTCATGACTAAACTCTGCATATTCCTGTTCCTTATAACAAAGATCTCTGCTCAGTTTTAGATGTTTAGATGTTTTGCATCACCAGCTTTTAAAAGTCACTTGTAAGATATTGCATTGTGTAGTGAATGATCCTTCTCACAAAAGTGTATGTTTCAAACGATGTAATCCTTGTTTCTAATGTTGTGTTTCTCCTTTCTCTCCTTTTGGTCTTCATCCACAGAATGTTTTTGTAGATAAACCAGCATTTCCGGAGTATAAAGTTTCTGATGCAAAAAAGTCCAAATTCATACTTTTGCATTTTAGCACTTTTAAAGCTGGCTGGGACTGGCTTATTTTGTTGGCAACGTTTTATGTTGCTGTGACTGTACCTTACAACGTTTGCTTTATTGGCAATGACGACCTATCCACAACTCGGAGCACAACTGTCAGTGACATTGCAGTGGAGATCCTTTTTATTATAGGTAAGAACAAACAGCTGCTTTCCTAGGATATTTGCATATGGGAAGTGAAGTGTGTTCCAGATTTTTCTGACATGAATTTGAACTAAGATCCATTTGCATGGGCGTGATTCAGCCTCTGATGCAAATTTTGGAGAAGCGCATACTGTATTTGGATTTCTGAAAATTGCCTCTTCCAACTTTTCCTGTTCCTTTATTCAAACAGATCTAAACTGATCTCCTGTGTTTCTATACTTATTTCATCCAAAATGGGCTAAAAAAGATTTAACAGCTGTTTTGTTTGTGTTCTCACATCCTTCATGATCTTAAACTTGTAGGGTCAGAGATGGGATTTGGCAAAAACCCACCAGTGGTGTTGTGACAGTGGTCCACTCCTTGACGTGGTTCTTTCTCCATGCCCTTCCGTGCCCTTTCAGCACGTTGATGGTTTCAATAGGTGACCTGGTTGCAGAAACAAAGCATTACATAAGCCTTGCAGTAAATCTGGAGAAGCAGTGAGTATCTGATTTTAATTAAAGAAAAGGCCCCAAAGGATGTTTGTTAAGAGAATTTATCCCTAGAATATTGGGTACCTCAGTTGAAGCTGCATCTGTGCCAATTTTGTAAGCCTTTTCCTATTTTCCTGTCCTTTAAATCTTCATCTTGTTTAGACCAAAGCCTAGCTTTAGCTTGCTCATTCTAGGACAGATTCCGGGTCTTTAAGTCCCTGACTTAAAGTCAACAGGGACTTAAACTTAACTTAAAGTCTGTTAAGTCAACAGATTGACTCCCTGTTGAATTATTGACTGTCATTAGCAGCTGATACCTGCTTCTTTCCTTGGTCATGTTGATAGAGGGCTATATTCTTACTGTAAAGATGAGAGAATGTTTGAAAATATTACCATGCAGGTAGGTGAACACAGGAGTAAGAAATGGATCTTAAAATTTCAAAGAAAAATAAATAAATAAGTGAGGCACATCAAAACCTTGGTTCAATGGTGGTGGTAGTTTTTTTTTTTGTTTTTTTTTTTTTTGGTTGTTTTTTTCTCAGTGAAGCTCTTACATCTTTGAGGTTAGAGTGAGTTTTCTTGTTGAATGTCAGCACGTTTGCTTTGGATGAGTTTGTGTGCTCTTGGTATGGCTTGCCATCATTATTAACATTGTATCTACTGGGCACATCCTTCAGAGCCTTGATAGGACCCCTGCTGTCACCCCAGAAGTGGTAGCTGTAGTGTGTTTAGGCCACTAGATGGCAATGTTGTCTAGTTAGGCAGATGGCAAATTTATTTTTAATTTTTTAATTTTAAAATATAGCTATCCTTTATTAGAAAGTTGTAACCATAAAGGGATCTATTAAATAATGGTTAAATGGAAAATAACATTCCAGTTTGAACAAAAATTTAAAATGAAAATGGTAGACAAATTGGGTGTGTCTATGGTTTTGTATCCTTTTACTTTGCCAACATTTGACGTCTCCTTCCACCCACCCATGATGCACACATAAATTAACATCCTAAAAACACTCTCCATGACCTGGTCAAAATTCTCAAGAATTTGGGCAGTCACTCAACATGTCTAAGCCTTCATTTTTTGTAGTAACGATTGCATAGGGTTTCATGAAATAATAGATGTAAGTATCTGCTTAACAAATATTTCATCATCTTATTATTGTTATTTACAACTTTGTTATTAGGCTAAGTTATATCTTGAACTTTCCTTTCCATTCTTCCTGGTTCTTAGATATTTGAAATTCTTTGGCCTTAGAAGCCACTTCTGTTACTGTGTGTTCATTAACAGATGATGACTTATTTACTCCTATAAAAACTCATACTTTTGATGGAGATATTTTAAAAGTTTTTGTTTATTTCGTTTTAAGGCTGCTTTTCTCTACTAAACCAATGGAGACTCTTTTGCTCCCCTGATAGCAACCCCTAAATTCTTCTGTGTTTTTTATTACTGTCATTTCTACTGTTCTTCAGGCAGCAAGATGGTTCTCCCAGTAGGCAATATCCATCCCTTACTAGCTACATGACAATGGAATGAAAACCCATTCCAATTTTTTTGCAGTTTACTTTCTGCAAAGATTCATTTAGGATTTGAAATTTTGGTCTGCAAGCAGTTCTAGTGTGACTCCTGCCTGAAATCCCTTGTTGATGGACTTCTTTTTATAAGCAGTAAAAACTTTCCTGTTCTTTCCTGGTGTTATCTGCTTGCTCTTTCTTTTGAATGAGTTTAAGCATATCTACAATTATAGCATATTTAGAAAAATGACTTAAATTAATATTTCTCTGTTTCCCCCAAACCTTTATTCTATAAAATATTTCAAAAAGGTGGCCTAAAAGTGATCATTGACAAATAAGTTAAAATACTGGGGACAAAATAGTTGCCTGTAATATTGTATCTTTACAATGTGAAGGTAGTGTTCATACCATTTAATATTTGTTAAATTACTGCAGACTTAAACTTCCCTGTCTGACAGCTTTGAAGAGAGTAATCCTTCTCCTAGCATGGAGTTTGAGATCTGAGAATGAACAGACTGCCTCCTCAAGTGGGTCCCTGATCCTGGAGTAGCCTAAATGGGAGATACCTCCCAGTAGGGGCTGACTGACACCTCATATTGCCAGGTGCCCCTCTGAGACGAAGCTTCCAGAGGAAGGATCAAGCAGAAACATTTGCCGTTCTTCAATATTTGTGTTCTGCAGCCTCTGCTGGTGATACCCAGGCAAACAGGATCTGGAGTGGACCGCCAGAAAACTCCAACAGGCCTGCAGCTTAGGGTCCTGACTGTTAGAAGGAAAACTAACAAACAGAAAGGACATCCACACCAAAACCCCATCTGTACATCACCATCGTCAAACACCAAAGGTAGATAAAACCACAAAGATGGGGGAAAAACAGAGCAGAAAAGTTGAAAATTCTAAAAAATCAGAGCATCTCTTCTCCTCCAAAGGAACGCAGCTCCTTGCCAGCAATGGAACAAACCTGGATGGAGAATGACTTTGACAAGTTGAGAGAAGAAGGCTTCAGATGATTGGTAATAAGAAACTTCTCTGAGCTAAAGAAGGATGTTCAAACCAATTGCAAAGCCAATAGAAAACCTTGAAAAACAATTAGATGAATGGCTAACTAGAATAAACAGCTTAGAGAAGACCATAAATGACCTGATGGAGCTGAAACCATGGCACAAGAACTATGTGCTACATGCACAAGCTTGCAGTAGTTGATTCAATCAACTGGAAGAAAGTGTATCAGTGATTGAAGATCAGATGAATGAAATGATGCAAGAAGAGAAGTTTAGAGAAAAAAGAGGTAAAAGAAATGAACAAAGCCTCCAAGAAAGATGGGACTATATGAAAAGACCAAATCTATGCCTGATTGGTGTACCTGGAAGTAACGGGGAGAATGGAACCAAGTTGGAAAACACTCTTCAGGGTATTATCCAGGAGAACTTCCCCAACGTAGCAAGGCAGGCCAACATTCAAATTTATGAAATACAGAGAATGCCTACAAAGATACTCCTCAAGAAGAGCAACTCCAAGACACGTAATTATCAGATTCACCAAATATGAAATGAAGAAAAAAATCTTAAGGGCAGCCAGAGAGAAAGGTAGGGTTACCCACAAAAGGAAGCCCATCAGACTAACAGCAGACCTCTCGGCAGAAACACTACAGGCCAGAAGAGAGTGGGGGCCAATATTTAATATTCTTAAACGGAAGATTTTGCAACCCAGAATTGCATATCCAGCCAAACTAAGCTTCATCAGTGAAGGAGAAATAAAATCATTTACAGACAAGCAAATGCTGAGAGATTTTGTCACCACCAGTCCTGCCTTACAAGAGCTCCTGAAGGAAGCACTAAAAACATGGAAAGGAACAACTGGAACCAGCCACTGCAAACACATGCCAAATTGTAAAGACCATCAATGCTAGGTAGAAACAGTATCAACTAACGAGCAAAAAAACCAGTTAACATCCTACTTACAGGATCAAATTCACACGTAACAATATTAGCCTTAAATGTAAATGGGCTAAATGGTTAATTAAAAGACACAGACTGGCAAATTGGATAAAGAGTCAAGACCCATCAGTGTGCTGTATTCAGGAGACCCATCTCACATGCAGAGACACACATAGGCTCAAAATAAAAGGATGGAGGAAGATCTACCAAGCAAATGGAAAACAAAAAATGGCAGGGGTTGCAATCCTAGTCTCTGATAAAACAGACTTTAAACCAACACAGATCAAAAAAGACAGAGAAGGGCATTACATAATGGTAAAGGGATCAATGCCACAAGAAGAGCTAACTATCCTACATATATATGCACCCAATACAGGAGAACCCAGATTCATAAAGCAAGTCCTTAGAGACTTACAAAGAGACTTAGACTCCCACACAATAATAATGGGAGATTTTAACACACCACTGTCAACATTAGATCAACGAGACAGAAAGTTAACAAGGATATCCAGGAATTGAACTTAGCTCTGCACCAAATGGACCTAATAGACATCTGCAGAACTCTCCACCCCAAATCAACAGAATATACATTCTTCTCAGCACCACATCACACTTATTCCAAAATTGACCACATAGTTGGAAGTAAAGCACTCCTCAGCAAATGTAAAAGAACAGAAATTATAACCAGCTGTCTTTCAGTCCACAGTGTAATCAAAATAGAACTCAGGATTAAGAAATCAATCAAAACCACTCAACTACATAGGTACTGAACAACCTGGTCCTAAATGACTACTGGGTACATAACAAAATGAAGACTGAAGTAAAGATGTTCTTTGAAACCAATGAGAACAAAGATACATCATACCAGAATCTCTGGGACACATTTAAAGCAGTGTGTAGAGGGAAATTTATAGCACTAAATGCCTACAAGAGAAAGCAGGAAAGATCCAAAATTGACACCCTAATATCACAATTAAAATAACTAGAGAAGCAAGAGCAAACACATTCAAAAGCTAGCAGAAGGCAAGAAATAACCAAGATCAGAGCAGAACTGAAGGAGATAGAG